ACAACGGACGGTTTTGGAACAAGGAAACATGAGATGGACACTAAGACTATGACTAAGATTCATTCATTAATAATAAAAGTATAAAAGTAGTCAGTCACCAAAACGGATGCGCCTCCTTGAAACGGTCTTTGACAAGCTCGAGCTTGTTGACATTGACCCACATGATGGCTGCATTGGCAGCATCGAGGACTTGCTTCAAGGACATGCCCTCCTTGAGCACTTTCTTCCACTGCCCATCCTTGTGGTTGCCATGTGTGAGGTCGTCAATGTCCGACATGAACTTCTGCAAGTCCAGACAGATGTTATCCGTCTTGGCTTTGAGCACATCAAGCAACACCCTGTCCTGAACCCACTTCTGCAACAGCTCGGTGATGAGGAATTCCTGCAAGGGCAAGTCTGGAAAGGAGGCGCTCACCGGACCATCACGAGGGACGCTCTCGAGCTTCTTCAACATCTTGCTGAGCTGCCTGTTTGCGACGAGCAGCTGCTCCATCTTGAGGCTGTTCTTGTCACGGTCCATCTGTGTGCCAGCATCTGGACCAAGAGCGGCAAACTCCTGTCTTGCCTGCACAAAGCCAATGCACGCCTTCAGGCCATCCACATTGTCGCTGAACCATGCCTTAGTGTCATCGGCCGGCAGCCTGTCTACCAGCTTCCTCAGGTTGCCCAGATTCGCAAGGATGGAGGCTGCATTCGCAACGGTGACCTTGACGTCGGGCTCGTCCTGAGATGAACTAACTAAGAATGTTTTCCGCCTCAGGAATTTGGTGGTGTTGTACACACTACCACTATTCACTATTCAATATTCACTATTCAAGGCCACACATTATTATGTTGGCTCGCAACTATGACTATGACTATGACCTCCATGCACACTCCATTCTAAAAACTAGTGACTAGTGACGTGACTAGACTAGACTGAGTAGACTAGACGGATTGGAAACACAAAGTCACAAAGCAAGCCACCAATTGCTCCACATGACACCGTTAAACCGTTAAACTTTAAGTCTTTAAGTTGCTGTCTGTCCGACATATCCTGCCGATAAAGGTTGCTTTAACCGAAACAAATCACACGTGGTGGCGACAACCGAAAGGGGTCATGAGTTTCAGGATTTTGTGACATGTGCGAGCTGCGCTGCGAGCTGCTGCGGCCCAACTTGTCTGTTCTCGGTTTTCGGGTACTGCTAGCTGCTATCGTACAAATTTGCAAACGGGCAAGCATTACCTGATTACCAATGATGAAAATCAGTAGTTTATGCAGTTTATGGTTTATGCCCAAGCAACTTCTTCAACACATCCCGCAGTCACATAGCCACCCACATGTGGCCTACATTAGGTCCTAGGACATGAGTATCATCAGTAGCGGTCAAGACCTCTGTCAACAAAAGTGGTTCGTTCCAGCACTGCTATTCAGAGGACTTCCAGACTAAAACATCTTCATTACCCGACTGTCACGAAAACGATTCAACACTGTCAAGTCCAGCCCCAAACCTTGCATCCGACATGAGCCAGTAGAAAGCTACCCCCATCATCCACGCCGTGTTCTGCCTCATCACCGTCCTTTATCATTATTTTCGTGACAGGGTCCAACTTAGCAGCTAGGGCAGCTACTAGGACCTGTTACTAGGACCACTAGGACTATGTAAGATACTGACAGCTGTGACCCAGGGGTCATAGAGTCATAGAGCCGATTGATTAATGATTAATGAGACTAATCATTATTAATTATTAATCATTAATCAATCCTTTCGTAGGTCTTTGTCGCAAAAGAACCACCCTGACAGGCATCCTTGCTGGATCCATATTGTAGAATATTGTAGAAACAGAAACCAACCAACATAATAAAGTCAGCTGCAACAGCAAACAAATGAAGATCACTTGTCACTTGTCACGTCAGGACAATACAACCCACAAGCCAGCAGCAGCCGAAGAAACTGTTCGTTGCCAGAAGATTTGATCTCAATTTGCTACTTCTTCCAACCGAATTACTGAATGCCCTGGAACGCTTGCAGAACTCCATGTCCAACCATTCCAGCGCTAAACCCACCGTCTCACAGGGACGGTGTGTCACAGCTGCAGTCGAGATGTTGGATGGCAGTTTTAGCGACTTTGGGACTTTGGGACACAGTAATTTCATAGCCAACTAACTAGCCATAAATAGCCACTAGTCACTACCCAGCACTACCTGTAGTAATAGCTACAAATCCTGACAAATTGCCACTCCACAAGTCACCTGCCCTTACACGGTTTCCTCATCCCCGGACAATGTTGTTGCTGTGGATGGCTGGATGATGAGTAGCCATACTGCCATAGTGACGATGATGCAGCTGTCACAAGGGGAATGATCCAGGGCCCCAGGGTCTTTTTTCGGAACTCATGGCAGCTGAAAGTCACAGCTCACGGACTCACTGCGGTTTGGGGAAGTTTGGGGTTTCGGTGCTCAGGGTTTAGGGCCCATGGCCACCATGGCCTCTAGGACTCTAGGGCCGGGCCTGGGGCTTCAGGTTATTACAGTTAGAGTTACAGTGACTGACAGTTACGACACTTCATCAAAGCCAAGCATCTCGAAGAGATGTGAAGGCCTGCCGGTAAAGCCAATACACCGCCAGCCACAATCCCTTGATCAGGCTGGCGTCTGCTGCAAGCACATCACTGTTGCTGTTTCGGAGCAACTGCAAGATGCCCTGGCTGGAGAAGCTGTCGGACGTGGGAAGCTTGTCGATGCCGTCGGGGCTTGTCGGGAGATCGAAGAACTTCTTCAAGTCGGCGTTAGCCAAGGAGGTGGCCTGGCTCGACTGGATCTTTTGCAACTTGTTCACCAGCGCCAACATCTCAGGTGTGGGCACACCTGTGCTCTTGAAGGTGTGCTGCAATGCATCCAAATCCGAAGCACTACATCCCTTGGCATTCTCCTCCACGACCTTCTCGGCTCGAGCCTTGGCCAGCTTCAAGACACTGGCCTCCAGAGTTGCCAACGCCCCTGAGCGCACCTTGTCCTTGAGCTGGGAGAGTGTCTGGCCCGCCGAAGTAAGCTCCTGAAGGGAAACCGGCACATCACCTTCCAAGCTGGCACAGAGCTTCTCAATCTTCGGGGCACTTTCCAACGTCGTCGCCCCCCTTGTCATGGCCTCGTTCCACAAACCGGCCCAAAAGGGCTCTCGGAAGCAGTCCTTGACGTAAGAAAGAACGGGGCTCTTGTTTGTCCCCTTCAACGTCATCGCCACTTTCTCTGCTGTCGCAACCGACTCCAGACCTTGCAGCGGAAGGGGCTGCAACAGGTACACAATTGCAGCTGCAGCTTGCAAGAGGGGCTCGGAACTGTCACTGAAAATGGCATCCTGGTCCGCATCCGAGGCTGCCTGCTTCGAACGAAGAATGGCCTCGCACAGCATGGAAAGCTTCATCCGATGGGCATTGCCATGCTTCAGCATGTCGACAAAGGAGTCGGAAGCCACAACTGCCGTGTAGGTCTTCATGAAGACCTGCCACAGCCAGCAGGACATAGAGACATAGAGAAGCTACTATAGCAACTATAGTACAGTATGACAGCATAACAGGCAGAACAGCAGGCAGACACAGCCTAAACAAAGGACTTGCCACACTAGTCACTAGAATTACTAGTTACTAGAATCACTAGAAGCACGTCACAATCAGAAACACTGTTTTCAAGCTGGTTCTAAATCTCGATTCTACCACCTGGGATTCTAGCTTCCGGAGTACCGAGTGTACCGCAGGCGAATGTGCTTTCGGCTGGCACACTCAATATGCAATATGCAGGTCACTTATGTCACTATGTCCACAAGAGTCACAAGATGGACCGCGCACATGCTCACCATGGGCCACAGCTGCAGCCCACATGAAGGGTCACCCACGCTCGGATATTGCCAAATCAGAGCTTTAACCGATCCATTAGAAGCATCATTAGCAGTGATTAGCTGCTGCCTAGTTACCTGGTGACCTAGTTATTGCCAAAAACAACTGATGAGCAGCAAATCAGCACGTGAGCTGAGAAAACTGTGATGCTCAGCATGCAACTCCTGACTCTTGCGCTGGAAAGTCCTGATTCCTGTCCTGCTCCCCTGGGATGGAAAAGATTCCCACTGTGAGCAATAAAACATGTCTTGGGAGATAAAACCATGAAGTTTCTCTTTCATAACCTCATAGAGTCATAGTCATAGTCATAGAGTCATAGAGTCATCGAACTGGAAGTCTCAACACGGAGAGTTGAAGCGGCAAGTGCTCCAGGACTGTCACAGCCAGCTGCATATCGTCAGCTTCTCGCAAACAACAGAAAAACATCTGCACTTCCTTCCTCAAGCCATACAATACCTTGGCTACGTCGGCTCTGTTCTGCCTTCCACTTTCTATATTCTATATGTTTATTGATACTGCTTCCATGCTGTCACAAGTCAGGCAGTTTGCCAGCCAGTTAGCAGCTAGCATGCAGCTAGCAGCTAGCTGCTAGCTAGCAGCTGCCAGCTACAGCTACAGTAGCTACTATTACTACTACAGCTACAGCTACTCAGCTACTGACTGATAATCTGATAACTCTGATAACCGATACCGATACTGCTGCTGGTCACGCTGCTGTCACACGGTTTCTCATGCACAGAGATGTGCAGCACAACCACCGGCTTGACATATTCTGTCCA